AGACCTGAGAGCAGCTTCCAGTGCCTGAAGGGGCTCCAGGAAAGCTGGGGAGGGGCTTGGGACAAGGGCAGGGAGGGAGAGGACAAGGGATAAAGGTTTTAAACTGGAAGAGGGGACATTTAGAGTAGACGTTAAGAAGACATTTTTTTATGTGAGGGTGGTGAGACTTGACAATGACACATTCAGATGGTTTTCAAGAAGAGGCTTTTACCCCACAAACCTGTCTCAGCATAATTTGGCCAAGTTTTGTCATCGTTGGACCCAAACAGCAAATACCATAAACACAACCAGAGTTGGACTGGGGCTTGGTCGGGACCACCTGGTCTAGTGGGACGTGTCCCTACCCATGTGAGGGGGGTTGGAACTAGGTGATCTTAGAGATCCCTTCCAACCCAAACCATTCTATGATGACACCACCCACCAGACCAGGCTGCTCCAAGCCCCATCCAACCTGCCCTTCAACACCCCCAGGGATGGGGCAGCCACAGCTTCCCTGGGCAACCTGGGCCAGGCTCTCCCCACCCTCACAGCCCAGAATTTCTCCCTCCCATCTCAGCTCCAGCTCCCTCTGCCAGCTGGAAACCCTTCCCCCTGCTCCCATCCCTCCCTGCCCTTGTCCCAAGCCCCTCCCCAGCTTTCCTGGAGCCCCTTCAGCCAGAATTTCTCCCTCCCATCTCAGCTCCAGCTCCCTCTGCCAGCTGGAAACCCTTCCCCCTGCTCCCATCCCTCCCTGCCCTTGTCCCAAGCCCCTCCCCAGCTTTCCTGGAGCCCCTTCAGGCACTGGAAGCTGCTCTAAGGTCTCCCTGGAGCCTTCTCTTCTCCAGGCTGAACACCCCAACTCTCCCAGCCTGGCTCCAGAGCTGCTCCAGCCCTCCCAGCATCTCCATGATCTCCTCTGGAATCTCTCCAGCAGCTCCATGTCCATCCTGTGCTGAGAGCTCCAGAGCTGGACACAGCACTCCAGGTGGGAATTCTCCATCTTCTCCCCTGCTCACCTGAGCGAGAGGATCTGAGGAGCACCCACCAGCCTGACCACTGCCAGAAAATGAGGTGACTGTGAATTCCCAGTGCCTGAGCTCCTCAGGGGTTGGAGGTTTATTCACACCTGGCTTCAAAACTTGGATGAAATATCCAAGGGCGGGGGAGATGCTGCTCTCAAGTTGGAGCAGAATTTGGAGAAGATCCTGCTACACGTGGTGTGATACAACCCTTGTCTGAAGGCAACTCCCTCTGCACCTTCTGTCCCAGGAGGAGTTTGAAACTGGAGCCCCAAAAACGTGCCCAGGAGCAGGGACAGCCCAAGAGGCTGGTGGGATTGGAAAAGACCTTTAAGATCATCCAGTCCAACTGTCCCCCCAGCCCTGCCAAGGCCACCAGTGCGCCATGTCCCTCAGCACCATCTCCAGGGCTTGGAAACCCCTCCAGGGATGGGGACTCCCCCCCTGCCCTGGCCAGCCTGGGCCAGGCCCTGACAACCCTTGCCAGGCAGGAATTGTTCCCCAGATCCAACCTCAACCTCCCCTGGCACAACTTGAGGCCGTTCCCTCTTGTCCCAGGGCGTGTTCCTGGGGAGCAGAGCCCGACCCCCCTGGCTCCACCCTCCTCTCAGCAGCTGCAGAGCCAGCAGGTCTCCCCTCAGCCTCCTTTGCTCCAGGATCAACACCCCCAGCTCCCTCAGCTGCTCCTCACAAGTTCTCCAGACCCTTCTCCTTCTTCTTCAGCCCCTTCCCCAGCTCCAGGGCCCTTCCCTGGACACGTTCCAGCCCCTCCATGTCCTTCTTGTCCTGAGGGGCCCAGAACTGACCCCAGGATTTGAGGTCCCACCTCTCCAGTGCCAAAACCCAGCTTCACACAGTTTGCCCTCAAACACACGTGCTGACTTGACACATACTCACACCTCCTCATCTCAGAGGTTTCCTCGGGCTGCCACCTCCTCCTCTTGAGATAAATTGATTAAAAACCTCAGGTCTCACTGGTGTCTAATCCATGTGTGGTCTGAAGGCACCAGGCAAAGATCAAGACTGACTGGAGAGCTTCAAATCCATCCCACCTGCTGAGCCAGCTCAGGAGAAAAGAGGTTGCCAGCACCATGGGTGGCATCAATTCTCCTGCAAGGGGTGATGAATCAGACTTGGCTTCCTTCTCATCACTGCCAGCTCATTGCAGTGAAGCTCTAAGGTCTCCCTGGAGCCTCCTCTTCTCCAGGCTGAACACCCCAACTCTCCCAGCCTGGCTCCAGAGCTGCTCCAGCCCTCCCAGCATCTCTGTGTCCATCATCCATGATCATTGAGTAGTTTGGGTTAGAAAGGACCTTTTGATCTTCATCTGGTCCAACCCCCCTGCCATGAGCAGGGACCTCTTCAAGTAGATCAGGTTGCTCAGAGCCCCATCCAA